TTTGAGTCACGAAAACTCCAAACTCGTAGGGTGAAAGTATATTTTTTGATCCTTCTCATGTTAAAAGCCCCAAAATAGTGGATTCTTAGCTCTAACAAATTTTTTTCACGTGAGAAAACAAGGGGCAGCCCCATTTTGTCAGCCATATAATAGTGTATTAGATTAGTTTGCTCCCTTTATGTGAAAGGTTTGTCCCTTGATCAAAGTTATTGCACTTAAAAAAAATGTCATTCATATCATTTGTCTGCAACATTGCATAATTTCCTTTTGATCACCATAACTTCGCAAGTGTTAGTCCAGATTGATGCCGAATTTTGTGCAAAAGAATTCAAAGTACGTGCTTGTTCTATTCTTCCTTATTTAATTTACAAACATATTTCACTATTGCACCTTGAATTTCAAGATAGAATAACAATAATAAGCATTTACATCATAAACTAGCTGCTCATGTTTCACTCTTTCCCCTAGAAGTTAGGGTGTATCACAAGAGTTCTCGATGAATTCTTCCTTTAATATTTTCTGATAAAAGAATTGAAAACCATATAATTTTGTTGGTATATTGATCGGTCCTATTATTTTTTTCCTTCATGTTCTACCATGAAATTAGAAAGGAAACCATGGAAGCTCTCACCCCTTTCCCTTCCCCTGTTTCTTATCTTTTGCTGGATTCCCATCCCCTTCTTCCTCATCAATCTAACCTCCTTCCCTCAACAAAGCTCTTGCTGGAATGGACCCAAACCCCAACTCTAAACCTAGGGCTGATGATTCTTGCGTAGCTGTGGGTGATTGGATCAAGGCAAGGAAGTGGTATCGAAATTTATTCTTCTAATGAGTAACCAGATGACGCTATGAATATAAAAGAAAGAACTAATATTGAGTATGTAAAACAACAATCTATTCGTAACATACATATATGACCGAATAGGGCTTTAGAGGAGAAAGTTCTAAACCATCTACCAAAAAAAGAGGTACATCTAAGGGTTTGATACATTCACATAGTGAGAAGAAATCTTGGAATAAATTCTCAAGAAAATCACAAAAGTTGATGGGCAAAAAAAAATATCTCACGATAAAAGAGATGGATCCTTCAATGTATCGGAATACGGAAGTCAAGCAAGCCAAGATAACTCATACTTGGAATCCTAAAAAGTGGGCGAAGTCGGCAAAATATGCAATTGCAAAGTATTTCATTTATGAGAATATTCCACCAAGCAAAACTCAAGGTCATTTTTATTGATTGATGATTGATGAAATTGATTTAACTGGACAAGACCCAACCCCATATGAAATTGTCGGGTCATTACTAGATAATGAGGTAGATGAACTTAAAAAATACATTGACCAGTCTAAAAAGAAATGAGAGATTTACAAAATTACAATCATTTGAGATGGATGGACATCGACCACATGATTATCTATCATTAACCTTTTGATATATTGTGATGAAAAAGTTATCTTCCACAAGTCAATTGATAGTTTTAGTTATGACAATGATACTAATTTTAATTTATGGTTGATGGATGTTGTAGTTGAGGAGATTGGAGAAAAATGTGGTTTAGATTATTCTAGATAATGGTAGTGCATACAAAAAAAACTGGTGAAATATTGATAAAAAGAAGACCTTGACTCAATCATTCAAAGGAAAGTCTCTGATCAGCAATCTGGGACTATGGTTAGGGAGTTCTCCAATGAGGAAATCAAGCAGGCTTTCTTTTCCATGAGTAACCATAAGGCTCTTGGCTCTAATGGTTTTAACCCATATTTCTTCAAGAAGGCTTGGCCAATCATTGGACAAGAGGTCATCGATGCTATAAAGGAGTTCTTTTCTCAAGGTTTGTTTCTCAAGGAACTAAATGCTACCAACATCACATTGGTTCCGAATGAGCCTAATCCTACATCCATGAATGACTTTAGGCCAATCTCATGCTGTAATACCATCTACAAGGCTATCTTCAAGCTCATTGCTTCTAGAATCAAGGAAGTGATCCCTTATATTGTTGACCATAGTCAAGCTGCCTTTATCCCTGGTAGAAGGATTGGTGACAACATTTTAATATCTCAAGAATTGTTCAAAAATTATCACAGGAATCATGGAGCTGCAAGGTGTGCAATCAAGGTGGACTTGAGGAAAGCCTTTGATACTATTAATTGGGGTTTCTTAATGGATGTTCTTGATGTTATGGGGTTTCCTCTCTCGATTATAAAATGGGTTTGGCAATGCATTTCTACTCTCAAGTTCTCTGTTAATGTTAATGGTGAACTTGCTGGGTTTTTTCCTAGCATGTGAGGCTTAAGGCAAGGAGATCCTATATCCCCTTACCTTTTTGTGATTGCAATGGAGACGTTATCCCTTATTGTTAAGTAGCATGTCTCTTCTAATGATACCTTCAAGTTTCCTTGGAGATGCAAGAAAGTTAAGCTCACCCATCTTATGTTTGCTGATGATATTTTGCTCTTCTGTCATGAGGATCTATCTTCTACCAAGGTGTTCAAAGATTCCTTTGACCAGTTCCAAGCAATGTCTGGGTTGCAAGTCAATCAGGCTAAAAACAGTCTCTTTATGAGTGCTATTCACAATGAGATTGAGGATCAAATTGTGCATCTTTTCGGCTTCACTGTGGACCAGCTTCCTGTCAAGTACTTGGGCATTCCCCTAATATCCACTAGATTGAAAACTATTCATTGTAATGATCTCATCATTAAAATTGAGAAGAGAATTAATTCTTGGAAAAATATATTTTTGTCCTTTGTTGGTAGACTGATTTTGATTCAGAGTGTCAGTTACAGCATGCATACTTATTGGTCTGCTCACTTATTTCTGCCTCCACAGATCATTGAAAGAATTGAGCAGCTTATGAGGAGATTTATATGGAAAGGGACAGATATGAGAAACACTGGTGCCAAAGTATCATGGGAAGAGGTTTGTAAGCCTAAGGAGGAGGGTGGGTTGGGAATTAAAAGGATTAAAGAATGTAACACTACTATGATGATGAGGTATATTTGGTTGCTTTTTACTGATAAGCAAACTCTGTGGGTGAAATGGATTCATATTTATCACTTAAGGGGCAGAAGTTTCTGGAGACTTAAAGCTTCCTAGTCTTTCTCTTGGAACTAGTTGTGTCTGCTTAAGTTAAGGTCCTTAACCAGGCCACTCATCAAGCATGTCATTGGGAATGGACAAACTACAAAGCTATGGTATGATAATTGGCATCCTATGGGACCTTTGGATTTATGTGTTGGTATGAATGAAATTGAGGAGCTTCATCTCAATTTGGAGGAGTCTGTTAGCAGTATTATTAACAACGGCCAATGGCAATGGTCACTATATTCCAATATCTTCCATGATGTGGTCAACTCCATGCCTTCCTATTTTCCTAACCCTGCTATTAAGGACTTTGTCAAGTGGACTCCTAATGGCATAATGGGATTTAGCACCAAATCTGCTTGGGATCAAATCAGACAAAGGGGACCTCCTGTTAGCTGGTATAAGCTGGTCTGGTCTGAGAAATCTATCCCTAAAATGTGTTTCATCTTATGGCTAGCTAAACAGGCTTTGCACCCTTGATCGTATGCAATCTTATGCTGCTCACTTGAGAGTTGGATGTGTTTTGTGCAGGACTTCTCCTGAAACACATCCTCATCTATTTTTTGCTTGCTCTTACTCCTCTAGTGTTTGGTCTGCTACTCTCTCATTCGCTGGGGAGTTATGGAAGCCTAAGCCTTGGAATGAATTTGTTGATTGGGCTACTTTTAATTGGAAGGGTAAGTTGATGAAGAAACTGATTTGCAGAATCTGCTTAGCTGCCACTATTTACCACTTGTGGATGGAGAGAAATAATAGAAGATTTAGAAACTAGTTCAAGGACTCAATTTCTGTTACCCATCTTATCCTACAAACTGTGTGGAGTAGATTGGCCTCTCTCAAATACAAGACCTCTTATAGCAATCTCCAAACTGTTCAGAACTGGAGACTACCACTTAGTTGTCTCACCTAATCCCTTGTTTCAGAGGTCTCCCCTGTTTTTGATAGGTGGTATTTGTCTGAAAGTGGTCACTGACTTCTTCCATTTGAATCCTACTTTGCTGTTTTTGGTGGTTATATTGTTACAAATGCACTGACATATATTGGGGTTTCATGGGGATTCATGACTGTTTAGTTAACTAAGATACTTTGATGCATTCTTTTCTTGGTGGTCTTTGCTAGATAATCTTTGTTATGGATTGCCTTTTCTATCCTTCTTGTTGGTTGGTGCTAATGTTACTTTTACATATTGATGCTTATGGTTCACACGTTGCTTGTTGGTTTTTGGTTGCTGGTCATTCCATGTGCTGATCCTTGGTGCTGCTTTACTTGCATATTGGCTTGCCTAGGTAAGGAGGGTTGTGTTGCCCATGCCAATTCTTGATCAAGGCTGATTTTTTATGGGTGGTGATGAGGGATATTGACTAGAAATGGTGTTCTTTTTTGTATTTGAAGACTTGAAGATGGTTGTTTATCCTTATATTCAATGTGGATTCATACATTCAATGTTTACAAAATGCTTCAGGAAAGTAAATTTCATTGTGGCATTTTACTGGGATAGAATTGTGGATTATGGATCTGCTTTTTGCTGGGTGTTCTCTGTTCCTGTGGTGGACCTTCAAGGCAGAGCTGTTGTATCAGAAGTAGCAATTTCATGGGAAGGCTTGGGATTACTTTCCCTGGCCTATCTTCTTTACATTTCTTGATGATCTTTGGTTTTCGTTGGTAGCTCTTCCTTACTTCTATTTGGTCCCTCTTGTGTTTCATGGTGGTGTTCTGTTGGTTTTTGCCCTGTGCAAGTGTTGCTTTTATGGAGGGTGGCTGACTTTTCTTATACTTGGTTCCCTATATCTGGCGTTTTGTTGGATGGGATGTCTCTGCTCTTATTTCTCTGTTGTTTTGTTCCCCGATGCAGCTTACTCTTATTCTCTACTGTTTCAGTAGCCATTTTAGTTATTGGGCCAATGTGTTGTTGCAGCTAGGTTTTTATGCTGGATTGTTGGTTGGATTGGCTGGGCTGCGTTGGTGTGATTTAGTTGGAGCCTTTTCAGCTAGTCTCTTCTACTACAACTGGGGGTTCTTGTCTGGTGCTTTTTGGGATATCTTTGCCTGGTCTCTCACTCCAACTGGCACGTACACAGGTGCTGAACTGGTGCTAATCTAGATTTTGTTGTTGTTTTGGATTTGAAAAGTCTTTTTGTTTGTTTTTTTCTACCAATGTATACTTTGCCTACAATTCTGTGGGAGAAACTCTTAATCAGAGCATCTTTTTCAGACTTGTGTTTTAGCCTTGATTTTTGGTCTTTGAGTCCTACGCGACTTCACTGTACATTTCGTGGGTGACTACCTTGTATATCTATTTTCTTTTAATACATTTTACTTTCCGAAAAAAAAAAAGGAAATTAGAAAGGTGTCAAACTCAAAAGTAACGACATACCAGATTACATGTTTGGGGCTTCTACTAGACATTCGGCCCTCCGTGTTAATTTTTTCCAGCGAAGCTATGAGCAACGTGTTGGTGCCACTTTTTTATACGTTGACATCAAAAGCACATAAATAACAAAATTAAAATACATAACTCATGTTATTGAAGTTTTTTGATATTTGCTAAAACTTATATTTATTCAATGACCGGCAGGAGTTAAAGAAATATTGAACTACTACCAAGTTGTTATGCCATTGCTACTATTGATGCAACACCGTTTTTTGGGAATATATTTTATTCTTCTTATTATTTGTTTGCTTCTTTGTGGGTGGTTTAGAGTATTTATATGCTAGGTAATTTAGGCATTTTACATTGTTTTGTTGCCCCACTATATAAGGGTCTATATTGTGTATTCTAGGTTAAGAAGTATTACAGACTTGTTTAGTAATAATAATTTCTCTTTCTCCTTTCGCTCAGACTTGTTTAGTAATAATAATTTCTCTTTCTCCTTTCGCTCTTCTATATTTGATCAAAATTTACATGGTATCAAAATATGGTTTCAATCCAAAATATATTGTAGCACCACAATAATTTAGTTGGAGAAAAAATATATTCATGGATTAGGCCTAACATCATCTATAGTGATTTATTTTTTTGCTATTTTCTTCGACTTCTTTACTTCATATCAAGCCTAAGTAGTACGACTAAAGGTTCTTGGTGCTGAGTTGTGTAACTTGAGGACTAGTGATTGGTGGGTTGCTAACTTTTTGTGATTCTATGAGCTGTGAAAAGTGCCAAAAATATTGTTCACTCGGTCAACAATGCCGAAAATACTGATGTTGTGTAATAAACCTCAATTTGTTATGAATATTTGATTTGCAAAGTTGTCGAATTAATTTATGGCAAACTTTGAATTGTTTGGAATTGGCTTCTTTTTTTTTTTTATTTTAGTTTATGCTCTTGGTTTCGCTGGTATTCTCTTTGGGTTTGTTGATTTGGGTTGGTGCTGATTTGGGCTTCTCTTTATTGTGCTGCTAGTTTGACTTTTCTTTTTTCCTTTGTTGGGCTTTGTTTTGTTGGGCATTGTTGATGGTAGTTTTTGTTGGGCAACCCCAATCCTTTGGGTTTGTTGATTTGGGCTGATGCTAATTTGGGCTTCTCTCTGTTGGGCTGGTGGTTTGACTTTTCTTCTTGTCTTTGTTAGGTTTTGTTTTGTTAGGCATTGTTACTTGTGGTTTTTGTTGGGCAACCCCAATTATTCGGGTTTATTGATTTGACATTCTTTCTGTTGGGCTACTGGTTTAATTTTTCCCCTTTTCTTTATCGGGCTTTGTTTTGTTGGGTATTGTTGCTGATGATTTTGTTGGGTTTTGATTTTCTGTTGGACCCCTCATTGCTATTTGAGCCTTAATTTGTTGAGCCTACACTTGGAGTTTTTGTTGAATTTATTATTTTTTTCTTCAAAGTCTTTGGAACTTCGTGCTAACTCTTATGCGGACTGAGCTGATGACTCTATAGATCGCAAGTCCACTACTGATTTGTGTTTCTTCCTTGGTGATTCTCTTATTTCGTGAAAAAGTAAGAAACAAACTGGTGTAACTCGATTATCTGCTGAAACTGAGTATTATGCTATGACCTTTATAACAGCAGAGATAGTTTGGTTGTGTTGGCTACTTGCTGATCGTTTCTTTACGAAATCTCACACTATTGCGCTCTTCCGTTTTCTTCTTAGCAATATCTTAATGGTTGATGTTACCACATCATGAGTTTGAGGGGGGTTGTTAGAGTATTTATATTCTAGGTAGTTTAGGCATTTTACATTGTTTTGTTACCCTACTATATATGGGCTTATATTATATATTTTAGGTTAAGCAGTATTATAGACTTGTTAGCAATAATAATATCTTATCTCTCTCTTTTTGCTCTTCTTTATTTAATCAAAGTTTACAGGCTGCAACAGGTTTGTGTTTGGCGTGATTTTTTAGAGTTAAGACTTGGGATATGACTTTGATCATAATTAAGTTTGTATCCCAACATAGGTAATTGACAAATTTAACTACTCATGTTTGATGTACGTTCTTCGTGTTTTAATCTCGTACTTTTAGTTGTTGTTTTAATCTCGTACTTTTAGTTGTATGAACTAATAACGCTAAATTAACAAAAATGAGTTTTTGAAGTTTGTACGAATATAGCGCCATTACAGGCTTGGAACAATGAAGATAAGGTTGCTGGGGTATCTCTTTGATGACCTTATTCATGAGAGGGTCAATGCAACCCATGAAAGTAATATGGTACTTTTTTTAATTTTTCGATTGTTACTGTTGAAAATTTTTTAATTTTGTTATCGAGTTTTGACGACTTTATTAAGTTTTGTATATCTCTGTTTTATAGTTTGTTCCTAACATGCATTTTAATGTATAATGTGATCTATCCCATGGTTATGCCATTTTTGTGTTAACTTTGTACCATCTAATTCCTTTCGGTATAATTCTATTAAAGTTGGTCAATCCTAAGCCAATGTTTAAGTCATGATTCTATAGAAGCCAACTCTATCCTATAATAATGAATTTTGATTTTTTTTTTCTAAGGCACTTATTGGCGAACTATGCAGTAAGAGTTTGGCTTGGTGGGTCAAATTTCAAGTATATCCTTCTTTAAGCTATTTTTTTCAAGATCCGCAAGCATGTCATTCTCCCTATTTTATTCTATCTATTTTTTACTTAAGAAATTCTCAAGGTTATTTAAAGTTCATTGACTAGGAAACTACAAAACCATCCTTCCATCTCCCCTAAACACTTGAATGTGGTATTCTTTCGAAATGGGGTCTCTGGTGATGTTTAAATCAACTAAGGCTTCAACGGTCCTTGAGGAAAGAGCTTAATTAATTTCAGCTAAGAGCTAACTGTTCATGGTAAAATGATTGCATTGGCGTGTTTGTGAGTAATATGTGCAAAGTATTTAAAGACATTAATATGAGAAAAATAAACTTTGTGCAATGAAATGAGAGTTCTTGGCAATAGGAATTTTGCCTATTCATCATTTGGAAGTATTTTTCAAGTCCAAAGGAAAGCACAAATTTTCAATGTTCATCATGTCAAAATTAGTTGGTCCACTAAGGCCGATCACATAACCCATTGTCATTTTTTTCTGCACTCCTCCATGTTAGTTTTCTTGAGGAATTTAAAATCAGATTTTTTTATATGTTTTGAAACTTAGTTTCACTTTGGTTTTTCTATTTCTATACACTATTTCGACAAACTTAGACCATGCTTCAATTATTTTATTCTTTATTGCAATAATTTGGTTTGAAGTCAAGTGGACATTATGGTCATTTTTATTATAATAACTCTTTAAACAATATTCCATCAACACTTTTCCTTTTTGATTTTTCTCTTTATTTTTATATTCCTGCATTTGCTTTTTTTTTTTAAATTTATAGCTTTTACAAGTTTTTGGTGGGAGCAGAAGAGACACTTTCTCACAATTAGAATATATATATATATATATATATATATATATATATATAGGAAGACTTCAAATTAAATAGGTTATGATATTCAATTTATCAATTATTTCTCAAATATACAATTGTTCTTTTGTATTCACTTCCAAAGTCTCATGTTCCTAAATAATAAATAGTACAAAAACTACATCTATAAACTTTGTTGAACAAATAAACATTGTAAAGCATATAAAAAAACAAAATTAAAATTATAACTCAAAATTATTCATGTGCAACGCATGTGTGCACCAACTTGTATCATAAAAAGAGAGAACATTTGTTGTTAAGTCACTAATCTTCTCCGCACACACTTTTTCACTATTCGTTGACCTATTTCATTTAGTGACTTGAACGTTGGACGTGGTTTGACAAGTACCACATCGGTGGCCTATTTTATTAGCTCTTTTCTTGACATGATCTCAAAGAGCCAATGAATTGCACAACCAAAGCTGCTTCATCTGCACAAGCACCACATCCTAATAAAATGCGGAGCACCTCACCCCCATGAGCCGTGTAAGATCCAAATGTAATCTCTGTGCAGAAACCACCAGCCCTCTCTTGAGCCCGCTCCAAAATTGATCCATCACTTCCCATGAAGGTTCTCTATTGTGTCGTAATTGTTATACAACAAAGGTTTATGCAAATTATGCTCCTATGTTTTTGTAGTAATTTGTAAGTAAAGTCCATGCAGCAATGTCGGGCCAACCTTTAGGCCACTGCTTAGGGCCCCAAAATTGGAAGCAAAATGAGTCCTTTAGAAGCCAATACACGAAATAGGACTTGATTGTCAAAAAATTCATAGGAAAAAATATTTTGTAAAAACGTCCACACTTAAGACATAGAAAGACTTGAATACCCTTTTATTGTAAATAAGTTTCCTAAAAACGATTTTGAAAACTAAGCCTACATTTAAATATCTCCATATTATCTGATGTGTTTGTCTCTCACGCTTCAATATATATATAGAGAGAGAGAGAGAGAGAGAGAGAGAGAGAGAGTTCTAATAAAACAAAAACCTAAAATTTAGGAAAATTAAAATCCATAATAAATCCTCTCCATATTTTTAGGGATATGTTTCAAAGTTTTTGGAAATTTTTGAGATTTGACAACTAAAATTATAGAATTTTAATTATCTTATCTTAGAAAGTACTAAAATTAAAGAGTTTTGGTCACATATATATGTGTTAATCTAGAAAATCCCCAACTAACAATCATTTTTCAGCATCAAGACATTAAT